TCAGACGGGATGGGCTGCTCCCAGTTCTGCCAGTGCGCAGCTCGCGCCGCAGCAGCCGCCTGTGCAGCCTGATCAGCCTCGCGCTGCTGATGCTGCTGCTGCTGCTGCTCCAGCTGCTGCCGCTGCCGCGCTTCCTCGGCCGCACGGCGCTGCTGCGCACTGCGCAGCTCCTCCGCCGCCTTCGCCTCCGACAGACACTCGAAGAGCTTCTGCGCCAGCGCCGCGTTGCCGCCGAAACCCTCGAGCAACTCGCCGCACTTCTCGACCGAGAGGTTGCTGGCCATGAGCTGCCTGAGCTCATCGGCGCCGCCGTCGGTCTTAGCTGGCGCCTTTGGGGCACCAGCCACCAACTGGCACCTCTCGGCCTCCATCTCCGTAATCTCGTTGATCGTGGCCTGTAGCGCCTTGGCGGCGTCATCCACCGCCTGCTGCGCCTCGACCACCACCTGCTTGAGCTCCTCGACCATCTCGGTCTGGCGCTCACGTTTGTTTAACCAACTTAGTGTGCTGAAAGGACATTTCTTTGAGCCGCGTGTCCAGAGATTTGCCACGAGTGATCTGACCCCGAAGCTATGTCTGACGTGCTCGCAACTTCTCCCGCAGGTCGTCAAACTCTGGGCCAACGAGATCTGCCACCTTCTGGAGCTTCTCCGTGATGTCCCCAAGCTCCTTCCGAGCATCTGCATCGCCGTCCCTGCCCGCGTCGACGTCCATGGCATCCGACTCGACCTTGGGCGCGACATCCTTCTTCCGTAGCAGCGCAACTTCCTCTCGCAGCCGCTTGAGCTCCGAGGTGAGCTTCGGGTCTGGCTGCGACTGAGCCTTGGTCGCCGACACCGAGGGAACTGCAGGTTGCTTGATCCCCGCGAATGCAGATGACTTGGGCTGCTTGCAGAGCGTACAGTGGTCCATGTCCACTCTATTCCACCACCTGTCGCCTGTCTGGTGCGACCAGCAGTGCTTACAAAACCATGGCTTGGCCCATGCTTGTCGTCTCTGCTTATGCCCCGACGGCGGCGCTCCGCCCTGAGAACCGAGAGATGGCGCCATGGGCCTTCCGTAAACTTCGGCAAAAGAGAAATTGTGTTGTCCACAGGCGGGAAACCCGCGTACAGTACACAGAATGCAGCAGCGTCTCCAGGCCTGGGCAGGCCACTGGGGAGACGCGGAAACGGTCGGGGGCCGCAGAATCCCCCACGCCAGAATGTCAAGTCCTGAGCGAAACGCTACGGACTTGAGCCAAAATGGCTCCGGACAAGAGGGGGAGGAGGAGGGGGAGGAGAAGGAGGAGGTGGAGGAGGAGGAGGGGGAGGAGGAGGAGGAGGAGGAGGAGGAGGAGGAGGAGGAGGAGGAGGGGAAGAAGGAGGACGAGGAGGAGGAGGAGGCCTAGAGACGTCGCCGTTACCCACCTCGCCGTCTGGCGCGCCTGCGGCTGGAGCCGCCCTCGCTCCGTGCAGTGCCGCACGGGCGGGAGGCTCGTGCCTGCAGAGGCTCGGAGCCGAGGGAGCCCCCATGCCGAACGGCCCAACAACCGGGGGCCTTCGGGCCCCGAGACGCGGCCTCCCAGGCGCCAGGCGTCCTCACGCCGCCGAGGCTGGGCCGCCGCCTGCCCTGCAGGGCCCCGCGGCCCTCCCCTGCTGGGCACGGCCTCCCCCGTGCTGCTACTCATTATCATCCTCATTCCCCCCCTTCCTCCTCCTCCTCCTCCTCCTCCTCCTCCTCCTCCTCCTCCTCCTCATTATCATCCTCATTCCCCCACCTTTCTCCTCCCTCCTCCTCCTCCTCCTCCTCCTCCTCCTCCTCTCCTCCTCCTCGGCGCTCGGCGCTGTAGGCATGATCCTCCAGGGATGCCGCCATCCTCCTCTTGCTCCTCCTCCCTCCTCCAACCTCCTTCTCCTCCATCCTGCCTCCTTCTCCTCCGTCTGCCTCCTTCTCCTCCTCCTCCTCCTCCTCCTCCTCCGCCTCTTCCTCCTTCTCTTCGTCCTCCTCCTCCTCCTCCTCCTCCTCCTCCTCCTCCTCCTCATCCACCCGCTCACCCATCCGCCTTCCTCCTCCTCCTCCTCCTCCTCCTCCTCCGCCTCCTCCTCCTCCTCCTCCTCCTCCATCCGTGGACGGTTCACGCCAGGGCCATGGGCCCAAAAGCGCTCTCGGGGCGCCCGCTCGCCCCGAACCCCCCGGCGCTGCGCCCGCACGGGGCGGCGCAGCCGCAGACCCGTGGCCCGGGAGGCGACTCAGCGACGGCTGCCGCATGCCAGGCGAGGCCCTGAGATCCTGGCGTCTCAGTGTTTTCGAGCCGGGCGTTTTCGCCTTTTTCCGGGCCCTGGGACCCTCACAGATCGGTGCGGCTCGAACAGTGACGGAGGAAGATGGGGTCTGGGCCTCCGGTCGTGTTCTTTTCCGATGTTGCGATTTTTTCGCTGCGTCGGATCTCAGGGGGGAGCCCCACGGGTCACACCCCCGGTAGCGGCCTAGCGTCAACGGGGCGTCTCGACGTGATCTTCGACACATCGTGGCTGGAAGCAGCGGCCGCGGCGTGCGACCCCGAGTGGCAGAAGGCCGAGGAGCGCGGCGTGCTGACAGGCTCGGTGGCCAAGTTCGGCTCGAAGGACCTTCCCGAGAGCGAGGACGTCACCGAGTGACAGGACGCCGAGGACCTCGGTGTGAGGATAGACTCGACAAACAGAACGGAGGACCCGAAGTTACCTGTGCAAGTGCAGGTACGGCGCGAGGGGCCTCTGCGAGACGGACGGCAACACGTGGCAGGTGGCCGAGGGCATCGGCGAGCTGACCGACTCGGTCAACAAACTAGCGGACCTGAGGACCCGTGCAACTGCAAGTACGGCTCGCAGACCCCTACGAGGACGACACCGAGTGGCAGAAGGCCGAGGAGCGCGGTTTTGCTGGTGGGCTTGGTGAATACAGTCGAAACCGATAGCAAAGTCCTGGGTGCGCGTTACGGATGCAGGGGCCTTGGACGCCAACGCCGAAGCCTCTCGAGCGGGGCTGGCCCTCGAAAGTGGTCGAGGATGGACCGAAGATGACCGAAGAGGCAAGGCTGCAAGGCTGCAAGGCTGCAAGGGTACAATAGAACCTAGGCCAGAAGAACATCCCTTTAGAACATGAGACCCTCCGTCGGCCAAAACACAAAAAAAACATTCAGGGGCACCCTCTCCAGGATGCACAACGACATCCAACAAACACGAAGGACACTAGGGAACCCTCCACGAGCCGACCTCTATCTTCTACCTCGGTCCGACTGCATCCTGGGGAAGTCGATCATCCTTACTATCAATGTACAGGCCTCCTAGGTAGGGTACGAGTAGATGGTGTCGGAGGATTGCACCGCATCGCGTATGTATCAGCAGTGTGTCGGCGATGTATGGGCGATGCATGGGCGATGCATCACGGAAGTCGGCGGCGCATCGGCGCCATCGGCGTGGAGAAACTCTGGCTCCACCTCGAGCCGCATCGCCGATGCACAAGGCGATGCGGCGCGATCCTCCGATCCCCATCCACTCCGACCCCATCTCGGAGGCCTCGAGACTGCACCCCTAGGAAGTCGAGCACCCTCACTATCAATGCCGACTGCAGGCCGGAGGACCTGAAGAACCGGTCGTACGAGCGCAGGCACGGCTGCAACGGACCCCCTGCGATGCGGGCGGCACCATGAGTGGCAGGAGGTCGAGGGCAGGCGGCGCGCAAGGCAGGCTCTCGGGGAGCATGCTGGGAGGGCCTCGGCGAGGAGGGCCTCGGCGAGGAAGCCAACGGCATTGGCTTTACTGAGGTTTTTTTTGGCGCGAATTAATGGAGGGGCGACGCATGGGGGGGGGGAGAAAGGTGCCCTTCTCGGGCCCTACAGGCCCTCTTCTGGGCCCTGCAGGGCCCATGAAGGAGCCCTATGGGGCCCCCCGAAGGGCCCCTTTGCGGCAGTCCTCGACGCCCCCCAACTCATCGCGCGGCCTCCAAGGTTTTGGCCACATATTGGCCACCGGGAGGGGGGGGGCTAAGTAAGGAACTCCCATCCTTTGATCCATCTCCTCCAAGATGGCCCCCAAATGGCCCCCGAGGCTCCCAGGGAACATGAAGAGCCCGTTCAAGTGCAAGTGCGGCTCGGAGGGCTTCTTCGAGAAGGTGTGCGACACCGAGTGGCACGTCGCCAAGGGCATCGGCGTGCTGCCACTGGCAGCCTGCCAAGCTCGGTGAAAAGGCTTGGAGACCTGAGCAATCTGTGCAAGTGCAAGTACGACTCAGAAAAGGCATTCGAGTACGACACAGAGTAGCAGGAGGCCAAGGTGCGCGGCGTTCTGACAGATTCGGCGAATTCTGTAATTCAGTTTTGGACTGTGTCGTGAAGCAGAGTGTAGGCTCCCTCTTTGATAGTCCTGTGTAAGACATTGTTCCTCCATGCTGCACATCCTGAGGGCGTGAGAGGAGCCTTGCACGTGGCAGCGGGAAAGTGAGCCGCGGGCCCTGAAGGCCACCGCCTAAGGTCTGGCTTGGGCGTCGGGCGTCCATGCTGGCCATCGGGCGTCCATGCGCCCTCTTCCTCCTCCTCCTCCTCCTCATCATCCTGCTCCTCCTCCTCCTCCTCCTCCTCCTCCTCCTCCTCCTCCTGCTCCTCCCCCTTTGCCCCGCCTTCTCGCGAAGCCGACAGAAGCAGGACAGGCTCCGTGCTGTCGTTCCCTGTGCGAGCTCACGATAAAAAGGGCCCCTGGAGCCACAGGGGCCCCCAGATGCCGTGGTGAGCAAGACCCGCTGGGCAGGCCCTCCTCCACGAGAGCGCGGCCACTGATGATGAGCATCGTTTAACCCTCCGCCTCCACCTCCTCCTCCTCCTCCTCCGTCTCCTGTTCCTCCTCCTTCTCCGTGCTTCTGCTCACTCTCCTCCTCACTCCCCCTCACCTTGCTCCTCCTCCTCGGCGCTCGGCGCTGTAGGCATTATCCTCCACGGATGCTGCCATCCTCCTCCTCTTCCTCCTCCTCCTCCCTCCGTGGAGGACCTGCGCATCCGAGTTCGACCTCTTCAGGTTCGCTATGGCCCCGCGCATCTCCATGGCCGCCCTTCGGCCCGCGGCGCGGCGGCGCGGACGCCCCTCGCGCGCGCGGGCGGAGCGCCCGCCGTGCAGCTCGAGCTGCGGGCAGGGGGGAGGGTCAGGGCGCCGAGACGGCCGGCCGCCCTCCCTGCCTCTGATCACCCACAGGAGGAGGCGGAGGAGGAGAAGGAGGAGGAGGAGGAAGAGGAGGAGGAGGAGGAGGAGGGGGAGAAGGGGGAGGAGG